GAAAGCCAACTGGCGCTTCACCACAAATGCATTCGTTGTGTAATTTATCATTTCCTATAATGCTGAGGTCTCCCATGTGCACTTCGTGGCGTTGATGCCACTTAAACGATATCCAGCACACTTAATATTGGAGCTTATGAGAAAGTGAACAATGCATCATTTTGCCGTAAGTAGTTTCCGCGCACAGCATGCGCGAAAAATTGCGAAATGAACTTTCCTCGCTTTCCAGATCATTCTAACAAAATGTATGTTGATATGCTGCATTATCAACGTTCGAGTGTGTAGTTATGCGGATGCTGGGCATTGTCGAGAAAATCCTCACGTACACAGCATTTGTGTAGCCTTAAAAAAAACCTTGTATGGAGGGTTACGCGTCCCTCCGTGTTATATTGGAGTGCTGGATCATTCATAGCTGAGAGCAGGCCCAATCCTTCGCGGTCGGCCACCAGAACCAACAGCTCCAGCGTCAAGATGTCTGCGTTTTTTTCGGCTCACCAGAATATCGCGCCCCTGGCTGTCCACGTAGGCCGTCATTCGAAGTGCCTACAGCACATGCACACATGACCCGAACATGAACCAGTAGTTGCAAGGGCAACTTTGTCTCCACATAACTACTTGCCAGCCTCCCCAAGGCTGGTTCAGAATCTCCATCCTGGTGTAGTTAGCGCCCATCTGGGCGGACACGGCTATCCCCGCTTCACTGCAATTGTTGGGAACAACCGCAATGCGAGGCGGGGCCAGCGCTTGGATCCGAACAATTGCAGAGTGTCCAGCACTTTCAATATCTAACATTTCACAGCTGCGGATAGTTAGTAGATTTCCCCGCGCCATATCCGTTACACGGCGTGTGAGCGATGCCGTGGGGTCACTCCAAACTGGAATGAGGGCGTGCTCAACGACTGGTCTTGGCAGCACGCACTGAGCTCGCGCAGAAGTGTACCTATCTTCAGTCTCCTTCGCAGGGTATAATCTCTTTTGATCACAGCATTAAAAGTCTCCACGGGGTCGTTAGTTGTGGCAAAACCAATCGGAGTTGCGTACGCCTGCCACTTACTGAAAGGTCCATACAGCCACTGGGCGCTCATGTACTGTGAGAACGCCAAAAGCCGCGAATCCTCCATCCATTTCCGTAAAACAGCGTCTCGCATTTGCAAAAACGACGCTTGAGTCCTAGTAGAGTGAAGGTCGTGTATATCACTCTGAACCGCAGCCAATAGATGCGAGGGAAATCGTTTCAGTGCCTTCTGCACGTTTTCCATGACGTGAAAAAAACACATTAGGAATTGAAACCGAGGAAACCCTCCAAAAACCGAATGCAAAGCGCTACATTAAGCTTTGTCTCCATCGGCCATTGCGTATTGTACAACCAACTCCTTGTCAGCGATCCAAAAATATAGCCTACGGAGGGCCAATAGAACCGCTTCGAACACAGACTGTGTCTCCTGAGAAACAATGAAAAGCGCAACCAGGTGGAAGCCACGGGAGCGATCCGAAACACCCAATACGACGACAGGGTAGTCGACATAATT